CCAACGAAACAACACAAAACAGCGTGGTTCTATTATGCACGTAATCCGTGTACGCTTGGAAATAGGTTGGCAACACTTAAAGATAATAATACTATGAGCAGCTGATTGACTATTATAACTACGATTTAACCTGTCATTTCGTGTTTATAGTTTCGGTATTTCTGAACTTTCTGAACTTTTCTTTTAAACGTTTTTAAAACATTCCTACGATCTTAATAAACAAGAAAATACCTTTAAAGCATTTATTTTAGGCGCGGAAACCACTTCAAATTACAAAAACATACGGAACTATATTCTCAAAACGCGGAGCACATTTCTTGCCGAGGAAAAATAGCGGAGTGATACGGACCGCGGGTACTACTTTCTCTAGGGCACCATTTGTGTTGCCAGCTGAACCTAAAAACGTGTTGTATGGTGTTTGAAAGACTAATTATTTATATACTTTATAGTGACTGTAGGAAAAATATAATGTGTAACACGAGTGAAAAAGGCCTTTGCTGCACTCGAGATCATTCCGCACTCGCCTGCGGCTCGTGCGTAAACATTGCTCTCGTGTGCAGCAAAGTGCCACTTTCACCACTAGTTACACAAATAACTATTAACTTTTTCAATGGGTGTGACAAAAACTTTCGAATCTCGGATTTTTCAAACGTAATCATATGTCATGTTGTACATAATTTTAAAGGTATTTAATAGACAAACATTTTGGAGAATTATCTTGTTCCGTTTCAAAATGGCGGCAGTTTTTTTCTTTTGAAAGAATCAATATGTTTTAAGAATACTGTACTCTACTCTGTGTTTCCTATTCCAATGCACTTAGCCCTTCTCCGGTTGAATTTTCTTACTTGTTATGAGATTCGCTTTACTGTGATATGGTGACATGCTGCAAGTAACGGGTTTTTAAAATTATGAAAAAATTTTGAAAATTAGCAAATGCTCTTTGTTCAAAATGTTTAAATAGCAACATATGTCAAATAAAACATCATTTTATAGGTTTTAAATCCTTAACAGCTTTGTAATTTACACTTCGTATCTCCTTTAGTGTTTGTGTAAATAACAAAAACCCTCATCTTCCTATATCAAATGCATGTTATTTGGGTTTAACACTAATGATCCCATTTCATTTACATTTGAAACTGATCTCGTTAACCAAACCGAATGAAAGAACATTTTTAGATACTTTATAAGGTGGCATTTTAGCTGAAGTTATTGGGGGTAAACATTTCAGTTTTCTTTATTATTTGTTTCAATCATCGATGTATATGGTATAACTTTCAACGTAATCTGGAATAAATTAAGGAAATGTATATTTCAGACACAATGTACTACACGTGTCAATTGCACATACAGTAATTAATTATGTTCTATTAATTAGGAATTAGGTTATTAATCAAATTCCAACAAAATTAAGTTTCATAATAATTTCGTCCGTGTAATTTTAATTTTATTAAATTCGACAATCAACACTGGCCCGAGAATTGACCAAATTATGGGATTCTATATTGTTTGTGCCTCTACTACTTAATAATGAGTATTTACTGAAACATTTGCAATTAAATATAATTAGAGGAGTCGATAGAGTAACCGAAGTCCCCACTCAATTAATGATTAGCTTAACCATTAAAATTTTCTCTACGTTGTGTTTTTGGCAAGATAGAGCGCTATTGATAACAGTGGTGATTCATAGAACTACCAGGATCAATGGAACTGCAGCGCTTCTGCCGGCCAAATTTGAAGACTCCTGAACATGATGCAATCTGCAGGATGTTGTATTATGTCAGCGCTTAGTGGACGTAGCGGTGATTCTTAGAACTAATCGATCATTGCATTGCAGCGCTTTTAGCGGCAAAGACTTGAACTTAGTGAGCGTGTAGCAAGTTACAGAATGTAATACTTTAGCGAGAAATTATATAAAACCACGGTAAATTTTAAAACTTAAAACAGTTAAAACTTACCATTTCCTGCCACATTGACATTGGATTTTCTTCTTATAATTTCTCCTACAACATTGTGTCTAGTGTCTGAATGCATTAGTAGACTAATTTCCAGCTTTTGTCCTCTTTCCTCCTGCCTTGGACCAAAAAGAATTTAAGTTTTTTGATTCCTGATCTCTCTTGTAATCTAATCTAGTTTTGAAATACAACATTTTTTTTCTCTTTTTTTCTTTTATACGTCGACTCTTATGCATTTCGTAATACGCAAACTCCTCATAGACCGCTAAATCAATCGTTTTCAAATTTTGCATGGTGATAAAGACCATATCGGTGAGTGCCAACATCTATATGGCGTTAAAAAAGTCTCTCAGGAATCCGCCCCGGGTCTCAAAGTTTCAATGTAATCCTTATGGAAGCAGTATTTGACACATAAACAAAGACATATGATCAGCTGGTGACTTTTGAATGCAGTAAATAAAGAAAAAGCTGATAGCATTATTCCACAGATATTAGAACAGAAACAGTATGGATCATAAATATAATCAAACTAGTGGCTTGTAGGGACATAAGTCCCTAAAAAGCTCAATAATATAAAACAAATTATTCTAATATTTAAACAAACTAAGAAATATATTATCTATGTGTCAGAATAGATATCTCTGTACGCCATATATATTTTGTGTAAAAAACAGTTTGTTGTTTGTCTTTGTTTGCCTTTGTTGATGTTATTTTCAATAAATCATTCGAATCACTACATAGGCTAACTCTGCTAAAGGCAGATAATAATTAATTGATTGTGAAGAAATACTGGTTTATTAAGGTAGCTTGGTCTTGTGGTTAATGGTGATAAAAAAGACTTCCCTGATTGAATTTAGGAAATTGTCTTCTTCAAATATGAAAAGGCAAATAAAGGTGTGTTGATGTAAGCTTAGTTCTTGGCCAAACCCGCTAAATTAGCATCCCTACCCAGTTAATATTTCTAAGTTTATACTCCTTTTGTTAAGGTTTAACAACATTAGTGTAAAGGAAAGGCATGCCATTGACCAAACATAGCCCTAGGTTTTTGGGATCAACATAAAAAACTACAATTAGTGTGAGTTTATGAGGTGGGATTCCTCTTAAGGTGCGCTTGACGTTACATATTCAATCAAACTAGGTGAATCCCGTCGAAATCGACGGCTAATCTTGAGGTTTTAGGTAAATTCAGCTAACTGTGATGGATAGAGTGAAGTTATTAAAATCTTAGGGAGGAGAAACATAATTATGAGTAAGACGATAGTGTACCTTAAAAACGTGGTTGATGAATTCAATATTTTCTGTCCTTTCGTCGGCTTTAGGTTGCCCAAAAGGCTTTTCAGGAGTCATACGTTTTTAGGAGGTTTGTTTCTTGTTCATGTTAAGGCCTCTTTCACTATATGGGAAAAGGAGTTCATATAATTGGTCTGTCATCTGACGGAAAAAGTCAATATTACTAAAATAATTGATTAACTTAACTTATGGGGTAGTTTTGCAATGGCCATATCGATCAAATAAAGCTGTGCATGTATTTCATGGGTTCCAGACTTGGTAACAAATTATGCAAATGCGATGAGATGTGATGGCACTGTTGTGTTTCCGAATGTTTTGTATACGTAAATAGTGAGGTTTAGATGCGTTGTTTGACCTAACTAGATGTGTACAAAGTAAAAACCCTGTACACATTTTTTTAAATACATGAATTGACATTAATTTACCTACTTCACCAAACCATAGATGAAACATACTCCGTAGTTAGTCTATTCCAAAACTTCAACACAGCTCTCATTCTCCTCATCTATGACACAAATTTCAACCCGATTATCGAGAACTTTTATACCAATAAATGAATTTCTGGTCATCTTTCTTGAATTCTCATTTTGTTGAAACTATAAAAAACTTGCCATGCAGTGGAGAATCAATTTAAAATCATAAATAAAAATGTGTAAACATTTAATTAATTTTGACAGTTTCAGTAGACCTTTGAATACAATTTTAATATTAACAGCTGGTTCATTAAAATTGGAGTAAAATTATCCATATGGTCGTAATGTAAAAATACTGCTGAGTGAACTTTAAATGCCTCTGGGGCAGAGCCCCAAGAATCAAATGGTTGGAAAATGCCGACTTAGAGGAAATTTTAGGCAGGTGTTCTTTGAATCGGGTGGTAAATGATCGTGACGTCTGGCCTATGTAGAAGCTTGGGCAGTCGTTGCAAGACAATTTATAGACTCCGGTTTTATTGTTTTATTATTTTATTTTATTTATCCGGATTTTGTGAAAGTAGTTTGCATGAAAGTGTTGACTTTGACTTTTGGATACTGAGTTAAGTCATCCCTTCTTTAATGGACCTACTTTATTGTACCGTAAGTAAGTCCATTTTTATCCAACAAAATCAAATTATATAGTTCAATAATGTGCCACTTAAATGCAGAAATGTGCTAAAATCTAAAAGATTTCTCCATTAGTTTTTGTTGTTGTGATAGTCTTTGTAAGAGATTAAAGATGCTATATTACAGTATACAAAATAGTAGCCTAATTATTTCTCCTCAGTTTGGCTTGGTTAAAGATATTGAGTATTCTAATTCAACAGAAATATCAGTTATCTCACTCTGCTGTGGAGGCTTTAATTCATCTAATCAATTTTTTCCAACTTTAACATGCAAGATCGAAAATATCTACTCCTACTAGATCAAAGGAGAAGTGCTTATGACTATTTTAGTAGGTTTTTTATCCTATTGAATTGGAAACGGAATTATTTTGTTTAAATATTTTTGTCCCAAAGATTAAAAACAAACCAAGTGCGGTACAGTATCTCCATTATGGAGAACTGACACCAATTAAGAGTGAAACTGGCAATAGATATCTCAATTTCAGGTATAATATATTTTTTGTCACGTTACATTTTATATAGTCCAGATTTAGTGTTACACACATACACAATATTGTGATTAGTTGGTTTGTGAAGTTCAATTGTTGCTTTCATCAAATATATGTTTATCACATGTTTCCAGCACCATTAATAATATTGTTTAGAAGAGCTCATACATTTTGTGAAATGAGTGTGCAATATATAAGCCTGCAATCAACAATTTTGTGTAAGTTAAATATTTACTTCAATTACAAAATTAGCTATCAAATGTATGTAAGCTAGAAATCACTAAAGTCATTATTATTGCTAGAAATCATCTTACCTCTGGTCAACAAAACCTTTAAGATTAAAATAGGTGAATCATTCAGATCCATCTAAAATAATATCAACCAACTCTATTTTTGTGAATGTACATTAAAACATAACATGTAAGATGTGTTAATTAGTAAATAAAAAACAACTGTCATGACTTACTATTTCCAAGTTTCCTTACAAATTAACTTACATACAGTATCTCCGTATTCTCATTTATTATCTATATATTAATACGCAAGCAGTTTTCTTTTCACAGTCATAACTCAATAATGGCTTGATGGATTTTAAAGTTTGAGGTGTCAAATCAAAGGTATTTTCACGTAGATGTGCAAATATGTCTCAGAATATTAAGAAAGGGCACCATTTAAGTGCACTTAAGGGCTAAAGTTTGGAAGGCGGCGCTATCTGTTGACATTAGATCAAACTCATTTCCTGTTGTTTACAAATAACATATGGACGTAGTTTGAAATAGTTTTTTAAGGTTAACCACAGACTGCAGGACTTAAAACTGCCAGAGCAAAGCTAGAATTTATAACTAAGTCTGGTTCATAATCAAGAGTTTCCTAGCAATACTTGACAACAAAGTGTTTGTAATAGTTAAATCATAGAAAAAAAGAATAAAAATTTAATAAATATTTCATTCTTTTTGACTATAGTTAAATTGATTGACCTTACATTGTACTTTACTGATTATCATGTAGTTACAGTTCGATTATTCACAGGGCATAGTTATATCTGTTGCATTGCCATATTATCATCTAATTTACAATGTGTATCAAAATTCCAATTCCTTTATAGCGTTTTCTGTTATTTCTTATTTCATTTCAATTTAAAATCAAATGCCGCGAGTACGACGAAGAACTGTGAGTGGCTGGAGGGAACCGGAACGTGGACATGACCGCTTGCATAAACCTCTCAATTGAACATTTGACGGATACATTGTGGTAGAACCACCGTTGTGATAATATCCAATCTCGGACCCCCAAAGGGGAGGTAACTGCTCGGTGTTGGTATCGGCATTTTCAAGTAGGCCACAGACATGGACGACTGGGCATTGGGTCCCAGTGACATTCCTTTATCCAGGATGGAGGGGTGTTTAGCTCTAGGAGAGATGGAAGTGCATCATATTCTCTAACCTACCTGTGTCTGTGGTTCTTTGGGCTTCGGCCTGCTTGTTGTGTGCGACCAGCATTCAGTGTGGCAAATCCTCGACTTTGGAAGTAACCTTTCCTGGAGGTGAAAACGGGCAAGTACCCGTAGCTCACGGGGACACTCAAGGGCAACGTAACTTTCCGCAGTGTGAGGGTAACGGTTTGTAGGCACTTATGCAAACCAATCCCTGTCTCTGAGCACGGACGGTATGGTTATCTTGAGTGTGGGGGGTTCTTCCCGGAACCTCAATTGAGTCAAGGGTGTCGCCACCTCTGGTGGATAGGTTCATCCGGGTGGGTCCCACTTCTATACCTGCCTCCTTTGGGAAACCCTGATGGCCTGGCAGTGATGTTGGGTCTGACGGGCAAACGAAGTAGATCGGGTGCTGGGTCCGAGCCCGCCAGGGGTATCTGGGGATCTATCGCTCTGGTTATCTCTGGTTTCCCAGCAACTGGGTAAGGCCTCGATCGGGTAGTGGTGTAAATGGGAGGTTGGGGTTCCCCCCGTCAGCGTGCTAACGGTCCCCTTCCTTCTGGCTATTGATGGCGGGTTTACCTGTCAGGGATTAGATAGGTCCCGAGTGTTACTTGCACTAAATGCGTCGGGGCGCTCTACCATGGGCCTCTAGGTCCCGACCTAGTGGAACCCAGGTGGAGTGACGCTTAAACAAGTAGCCGGAAACCCTGGTTAGGATTGAGGGGCAACCCTCTTTCCGAAGGGTCTGCTTCGGCAGCCGGTGAGCCTGATGACCTTAAGTCATCCGCCCATGATGTGCAAAAGGTTGATGCGTAAGCTTCGGCCTACATCATGGGGCCCGGGTAAGTCTCACGACAGGTACCGGGTATGTAGTCAGGGGGCTTCGGCTCTCATGACAAAGAAATAATAATAATAATAATAATAATAATAATAATAATAATAATAATATCCAATCTCGGACAAATGAACGTTAAATGTTTACATTGTAGTGGCTTACATTTTAAGCAAGAAAAGACTGACCGAGACGGTTAAGTTTTTACTCTTTGTTGCCATAAATGAAAGGTTCGTTTACCTCATTTGTACTATTCACCATACCTTCAGGATCTTATTGGAAACTCCCAATCTAAAAAAAAGACTGTGAGACTTATATCCAGAAATTATTTGGATAAAATTCGTTAATTCAGTTCTGCCATGATCAGAAAATTCCACAGGGGATATCGACAATTTCAAGGTTCATGACACGTTTTACCACCGATTAGGCCCTCTAATTCCTCAAGAAGGTGATGATCCTGAATACTCATACAAGTACAAAAATGTCACTAGAACCCAAAGGAGAATTAAGCACAATTCAAACAAAAAATTCAATGAAAGAATATGCGGAAATTAGGGTCACAATGCTTATTTGCAAATTTTTGAAAAAATTGGCAGACATTCTGTATGGACGAGAGATCCGAGGAGTCAAGTGAGATTCTACATACATAATAAGAGACATAAGAAGTGTCTTCCCTCGTTACAATGGTGTTACCTGTGTAGATGTCACAGCAATTTTTAAAGCTGAAAACAAATAAGCACCACCTGGCCAAATAAATCGTATAGTTTTTTTTTTCAATACTAATAATGTTAAACGCGTATCCATTCTAGATCTGTCGTTAGATCCATTTGCTTACCCTCTTATGTTCCCAACCAGAGACTTGGGTTGGGGCCCTTAATTTAAACACGCCTAAAACAGAACATATCGTAGAAATATTTTAACAATGCTAGAATAAGAGTAGCAATGGTTGGCGTCAAGAGAGGAATTGAGCTACATTAGGTCAAAAGCTCACTTTACAGTGTGTGGTTGACATCTGTGTGTTCATAGAGTGCACCCGCCTACTATACGTAAGAGATAACCAAAGCAGTATGAGAGTGAATGTGAACTTAAATATTGTAGATTACTTTTATATTTTTACATCATAATATTTTTTATATTCTATAATCAGTCATATAAATTATTTTAGAGTGACTCTTTGATTAAGGTCTTGCTGTTTATGTTTTTTGTTTATTCTTTTAATACAAGTTTCAGTTTTGCTCGATTTTGAGCAACGGGTTATCTTGTACTATTTAAAGCTTCTGGAGAGAGAGAGGGAGAGAGAGAGAGAGAGAGAGAGAGAGAGAGAGAGAGGGAGAGAGAGAGAGAGAGAGAGAGTGAGTGAGAGAGAGGGAGAGATTTTGGTTCAAAAACCCACATATGGACCACAAAGTAATCTTTATGATAGCAAATATTTTTTTTCTGTAATTTGTTAAATTCATTACCCAGAACCTATCTATAACTATAACTATAACCTAACAGTATGCCCCTTTAGCTATTTACGGTAGGTAGTCAATGCTACTAAACAAAAAAATTGTCTTTGATCATCACTTACTTGAACAAATTGAATTGGCCAATATTTTCAAGCTAATCGTATTACTTTGTAAATTTCAGGGTTGAATCTGTTTGTCTTGTTCATCCACCACAATGTGTTGGCGTTTCATCTTGAAAAATCAAGAGTATACCTTTTTGACGAGGTTGAAACAGACGTTGGTTATAACTTTTCCGAGAATAAATCATCGTTGACTATATCTCCAACTAGTGAGAAAGCAAACAATGTTGAGGGGAAATTTGATTCATCCTCAAACTTTACCAAACTTCCTCACGAAAACCACACAATTAATTTTGCACCCCATCATCCCATTGGTGAAATACAATTCAAAGCAGATGAAAACACCTCAGTTGAAACGTCAGTCAAGCAGTTCACTACACCAAAGTTTGAAGATGTGATGGATCCGCGGTTTGTAGAAAGTGAGATGACCAGATATTTCTTCCTAAGAGCGATTTCAAATCTGATAGAACATATCATGTCAGCTCTATTTGCTGTGGAAGATCTGCAACAAGTAACTGAATCACCACATTTTGATTATGACTTGTCACCTTCACACAACCTGAGTAAGAGAGGTGCTGCTGATCCTGGAGAGCATGTTGAAGATAAATAATGAAGATCTGAATGCTAACCATACATCAGAGCTTAAAAATGCTGATACAAATACTTCAAGCGTTGAAAACAACATTAACAAAAGTAACTCAAACAGTTCTCACTTTACAGGTGGAAAATATAGCTCAAACATTTTTAGAGGTAGGCCTATTCACTTGTAATAAATTAATAGATGTAGTACAAATTTAAAGCTACAACATGAGTAAAACTTCCTTTAAAAGTCCTAAAGGAACTTGGTTGAAGTTTGTGGTTTTACACATCACTATTGGTTGATGTCAAAGGCTGTTCTAGGCATTTGATGAACACCCTGCAATCTATAAGTGGGACCTCTGAATCTAAAATTTGGCTTCAATGGTCCTGGCTTAAATACAGCTGATCTTAGTCCAGCCATTTTATATCTTTGCCTTAAAATATGCATTCTGGTGTGTGTATTCTTTTACATTAGATCAAGTATTATTGCTTAATCTAATGTTATAGCCTTGTAGCTTAGCTTCCCAGATTGATGACCCCCTCTTGACAAATATGCCAAAATTAGTCTTCCTTGCTAGGTGGCTTCTCGTTTTGAAAATGTTAATGAAAAATAATGAACACCTCAAGACTGTTTAAGGCCAAGTCACACCGAGCTCGCTCCCGCGGCGGGAGCGAATTTTGAAAAGTCGCTAACCATGCTATCAAATGTGCCAAGTCACAACACCGCACTACCACGCCCCCGCAGGCGTGCTCAGCGATTTTGTTTGACTACCACGGCGGGATTTTTGTCTGGCGCATGCGCAAAGGGGCATCTCGAATGGCCAAGCTATAAAGTTTAAAAATAATACAGATTAATACAGTTTGAAAGTAAATTTAACATTCAATTCAATTCAATTCAATTCAAAACATCTTTATTCATTAGTATATAAAATTGCATATACAAGAATGGTGTCAAATTCATCATTACATAAAATATAAACACAAATAAAAGACAAATACAATACACAAGAACAAAACAACAAAATAATACAGTCATCTCTCAAGTACAAACTTCCAACATAAGGTCCAAATTAAATTTTTAAAATAATTACAGATCACTTTTTATGTACGCTAACAAATAAATAAACCCATTCAATGCTTCTTAAACACTTTACTACTTTAAAAACCAGAAAACTTACATGTCATACCAAACAGGTAAGATGAGTTTCTTATGTAAAATAAATTGTAATGAAATAATCCCAAAACTCCCGCTGCGGACGCAAACTTTTGGTGTGACATGGCTCGAGGAAAAACATCTGCGCCCGGTACTCCGGCGGCAGGAGCGGCATATGTCGGTGTCACATGGCCTTTAGGGTGTTTTAATATTACAACATAGGTTTAAATTAATTATTAAAACTTACTATTTAAACTACTATAACAAACACACCTGAATGAGAAAAAGTCCAAATAGGCATAAGAAAGACCAAACTTGACACAAAGCAACAGCGTAGTTTTAATATTTCACAGACCTGAAAAACTCTCTTCAAATCATACCTTCCTTAGATGAAAATGCTGTTCGAGAGGGTGAAATATTTGAATGCTCTGTGTATAATGTAAAGTTGTGTGTTTCCTACCAGTTTGAACTCTTTTTCATTCAGAGGTACCGTGAGCCTGCTATCCTCACTAAAAATCCTAAAAACCTAGGCTCATGTAGGTTTATGTTGTCGTTGTTATCACAAAACAATTTATTTCATTTTCAGATGACCACAACAATAATACAAGTTTATTGGATTTGATTTGTACAACTGTATGTCTTTTGCTTCTTTTTGGTAAGTAAATATTTTTCTCGTTATAATCTCTCCAGCAACCAACCGGATTCACTCTTTTTGCTACAACTTTTAATGCAAAGCTATTTTGTGCTAATACTTTTGCTCGATTCTGCATAATGCTGCATATGCTATATAGGTTCATCCATGTTATCCAGTAAAGTTTTAAATGTTGATTAAACCTATTTGATATAGAAAATAAGGAAATGAGAGCTCAACTACTTTTGGAATTAAGTTTTCGGGTGTTAATACTGCTTATTAATTAGTTACTTGGATGGGAAGAATTTAACGAGTTTATTTTTAGTCAGCAGAGTAAGGGTAAATAAAATACCAGTTTTGTGTCAGCATTTCCACAAAAAAATTATGATTTTTGCAGGAGTTTTGGCCTTCGCAGCTGGGAATCTTTGTCGCAGACCCCAGCCTGCTGGGAACCAAAATGCAACAAACCAATCTTCTGTCATATTAAATATTCAAATTCCTTAGCCACATTTGCATGGATTGTAAGGTGATAATTTTGTTTTATATGGTTGTAATCAGTAACATAAGTTATATGTAGAAATACAATTGTTTGTCAAAGCGCTGCAGAAGAACTTTTAATGCTTTGTGTGATTGTTAGAATCAATATTAAAATGTATTAATGCTTTTTTTCTAGAATACAGTGAGTGAATCTTATTCTAGAATAATCTTACTTTTCAAAAACTAAGTCAATAATTTTTCATTTCATTTAATTTCAACACCTTCGATAGCACATGCCTTTCTGGACTTTCATGATAAAGAACTGCTTTTATCTTCGTCTTCAACGGACACCTTTATCCTGAAATTAGAACACATAGCTGGTTGTATTTATTTACTCTAAGATACTAGCTTTGTTAAATTTAAATTAAAATTTTCCTTTAGCTAAACGTGATTTCAAAACTCTTTGCAATAGGTTTTTTTGGGATTTTGATTTTAAGCACATAAAGGTGTTTGTTGTGGGAATGTTGCTGGAAGTCAACAGTGGCGGAAGGTCAAATAATTTATACTTGTGCCGATAGGTCAAAAACTACAATGTTTGCAGTGTCTCTAGGTCAAAAATCTCATTGAGTCAAATAATACAGTCCGTGTTTCGCCATCAACAGATCATACAGATTTGCCATCAAGCATCGGCATATATTTATCTATAATCAAACTCGGCTTATACGTAAACGAAATGTGCTCCCCATGAGCGAAACTGAACTTATATTTTATCGTATTTCGTTATATTAAAACTGCTGTTGCATTAGGTCAAATTCCCAATGTGTCAATCGCTTTAACATATACTATGTTTTTAGCACGGACTGTATTATTTGACTTACTGGGATTTTTGATCTACAGACACTGCAAACATTGTAGTTTTTGACCTATCGGCACAAGTATAATTTATTTGACCTTCCGGCACTGTTGACTTTCTGCAACGCGTTCATGTTTAACCACAGTCAGATTGTAAACAAAGTTTATGAAAATGTATTCGAAATAGGCTATTTTTTACAACTGTACCTGATTGAGGTACGTAAATCCCTCTTTATACTGTGTAGATAAAAAAAAGTTGTTTAAAGAAAAATTAATTAGTAGTCATGTTTTCTCAATAAACAAAACAAACATAATCTTGAAAAGGTAAATGTGTATTTCTCTGGATTCATTTTGCCTCCAAAACAGATTTTGGACCCTATTAATCAGCACAATTTGTGCAAGAGGCCTCTCCTTTTCAATATCATGACAGGGAATAAATTATTACCTTCCCCATTACAATAACTATTGATTTATTTACAAAACACAATCATTCAATTTAAAAATACTCATATCTGTAACACATAACCAAATAGCGAAATCCCATTTTAGTTAAAAAAATTTGTGGTTTATCCTGTCTTATCTTACAACTATTAGTCTTTCAAAGACTTCACAGCAAATAAAATACAAAGTTATAAAAGGAATATAGTAACAGTAATTATACATGACTATAGTCCGTTCACAAAATTAAGGCAGTTTGAGGGTAAGTTCCCTTGCTATTTTTTTGCCTAATGTGTATGTTGCAGCTGATGGGCGTTTTAGCAAACCCCAGCTTTTGAGCTATTGTCCTACCTATTGATGAGGTAAGATCAAGTGGAGGGTATAGATTTTTTCTGCCTAAAATGCCTAAATTTTGTGACAGATTAGGTATAATTGCTAGGATTATAATAGTTAAAAACATTTAATTGGTATGTATAGCCAACTTTTGTGCAATTTTCAATATAGAACACAAATACTTCCCAGAAAACACACTCAAAAATAAATACACACAAAACCCATACAAACATTTTTATAATTTTGTAGTATTGTGAAGATTAATTCTAATGTGGAAATAGGCTGAATTCTTTTTATTGTTGGTTGTTAAAAAAACTATTAAAGTCTTATAAGTAATTTAATGTCCAAAATAAGTGTTTGTACAAATAGCCGCTGTGACATATATTCATAGTAGAACCCGTCCCATTGCTACGAAGTTTTCCAGTGCTTGCTAAATTCAGCTGGATCCTAAGAGCTAAAAATGGGTACTTACGTATTATACGGAGGCCACTTATTTTACAGCGCGCTGCGGCGGTTGGGTTAAGTTGGGTTATCATAAATATGTTTGTAGAACTTTCCTAGTTTCGTTATGAATCGAACTATACGAGATGAGTCATAAAAACTTATGATAACCCAACCTAACCTAACCGCCGCAGCGCACTGTAAAATAAGTGGCCTCCGTATAATACGTAAGTACCTAAAAATGTATAATGTAATTCTGACATTTCAGAAGAGAAACATGTTCTCCAGCATTTCTAATTCACTTCTGGTGTACAGTAAATCTTTTTCTAAATTGCTATTATCTTTGAATTGGTTTGGTAGTGTAATGTCTAGTGGGTTCAATAACCCCTGAAATCCAATAATTGAGGCAGGACACAAAGCTGCATATTTTAATCTGAATATGACTGACAGAAGACTGTAGAATGGAGAGAGATGATTTTTATTGCTTGTAGCTTTATGACTGAGTAAGGCCAGCTGTTTCCTTACATTACGAGAAGGATGTATTAAAAGCCCTACGATCCAGTGACAGAACGGAGGTCCAGTTTTAAACTGTCAAAAAGCTACAGACTTTTATCAGGATAAAACCAGCTACCTTCTGACTACTAGGAAGGCAAGGCAATCACTATGTTGAGGAATCAGCCTCTTTTAAACATAAGTTCACAATGTTATTTGCAATTACATTGCGATGTGATGGGTTCTATTAGACATGCGTGTCACTTATAGGGCTTTCTTTGTTTCTTTTCTAACAACCAACTAAAAAAACCAATAGAGGAAAAATGCAAAAATTAGAACTTTTCAGTAAAAATTCAGTAAAGAGACTAGAGAACTCTTTTATTATTGCATACATTTGGACAGGTTAGGTAATTCTTACATAGTTTCATATATTTTTCGTCTTTGGATAGACTTCCCATTGCTATATTAATGTTATAGCCGAGTTGTAGTTAAATTAGGTTTTGGTCATTCATAACTTTAACATTCTTTTGTCACATCATTATCACCCCAGTTTTGAAAAGGATCAGGTGATTTTGTTATGTTGGAATGGTTAGAGATGGAAAAGGCTTTTTCCTACAGTCACCCGACAAAGTTGGCCTCCTTGTACTGTTTATAGTACAGAAAGCTGCTAATTGCTGCATATTTATGCTCTGTCGTACGGTTTATACTTTGTCGTGCGGTTTATACTTTGCACATGGCGCACATCAGGATTCCAACAAAACAATAAACAATACAAAACAGCGTGGTTCTATTATGCACGTAATCCGTGTACGCTTGGAAATAGAAGATAATAATACTATGAGCAGCTGATTGACTATTATAACTACGATTTAATCTGTCATTTCGTGTTTATAGTTTCGGTGTTTCTGAACTTTCTGGACTTTTCTTTTAAACGTTTTTAAAACATTCATACGATCTTAATAACCAAGAAAATACCTTTAAAGCATTTTTTAAAGCATGGAAACCACTTCAAATTAAAAAAAAAATACGGAACTATTTTCTCAAGTCGCGGAGCACATTGCTTGCCGTGGAAAAAATAGCGGAGTGATACGGACCGGTGACTACTTTCTCTAGGGCACCTATTTGTGTTGCCAGCTGAACCTAAAAACGTTTTGTATAGTGTTTGACAGTGTTTGTAAACATTGCTCTAGTGTGCAGCAAAGTGTCACTTTGCTCACTAGTTACACAAATAACTATTGCACCACACTGTAATGTTTTTAACTGTTATACATACGTTAATTGATGGCTGAAAGTTACGTTTTGCTGGCCATGGTAGCTGTCATCATCATTTTGGGGACCGAGCAGGTTTTTACATCCCTAGGGCCGTAAAATCAACTGTTCGCTTATTTACTTTAAACAATAATATATTAAATAGTATATTAATTAATTAATTATTAGTATATTAAATACACAAACTGTATCCATAGCATTGCAATGGACTTGTTTTTTTGTCACCGCTGCCTAGCAACTGTTTATTATTATTTTTGCTGATTCCTCAAATTATTTCTTCACATAGTTAGTGTAGGTACATTATTATTGTGTTGAATAGTATTGTGGGTAATAGGGTATAGTGTGGTGAAAAATAGGGTTTGTACCACGGACCAAAATGGTTTTGCAGCTCTCGATCGTATAAGTTCTCGACTTCGTCTTGACCTTATAAACTATCTCGAGCCAGCAAAACCTCATTTTCGGCCCTAGGTACGAGATATACTGTCTGATAATGTGAAAATTGATTTAAAAATGTTCCATAATTCACTTTTAAATGCAAGCAGGTTGATGATTACCAAGAAGTATTTTGTAAGACTGATAAAATAGGAAAGAATACCTTGGATTTAGTCCTATTAGAGTTTATTTTGGGCTATACTAGAATTTGTTTCAATTTTCAATAGTATTTAAATTTGTTCAATTCCCATTTGTTTCCCAAATTGGCTTAAAATGAGTTTCTAACATTTCAATCCCTAATTTCATATTTTTTTCAAGTGCTGTCATTTACATATTTTTTCAAATAAAAAAAAAAAAATTAACTAAGTAGGAATTGAAGTTGGTTTGAATCTTTTGCAAAAGTATTCAAACGTCAATGACATCTTATCAAAGTGTTTTAAGTAGATAAAAATAGTGAATAATTTATGCATAAAACTATGTTAACCTCACCTAACCTAACCGTGCAAAAAATAGTTAGGGAAATAACCGAGAAAAATAATTTGACATTAAGTAATTAATTCAAATCTAATTGAAGAATTTCTCAATGCGACAGTTGAGTAATGAGTTGTTATTCTCATTGAAATTTGAGAAAAACAATTCAAACACATGGAAGGACTATAATTCATCTCGCGGGAGTTCGGAGATGTCATCGTCGGACACAGTTGCATCGTCCAAATCTGCAGAGCTGACTTCATGTTGTAGTCCGTACTCATCTACGTTGGCCAACATTTGACACACTAGAGGACTCTCTACTCCCAGGATGTACTGGCAAGTGTGAGGCTCAATGAGGTATAGACTGACAGCGCCTGGGGAACTATTCTCTACACACTTCAGCTTCACCTACACAACAATAGACACAGTTACTACATAAAGCTGTCAGTGCATTCACCAGTCTGAGTACCCCATAAACATTAAACTGTAGGGGTCTACACTTCCCTACAGGCCAACAATTGGTCTAAGGGGTCGGTAAAGAACGGAAGTAATTTTCAGGCAAAACTCGGGTCGGGTGAAGCAATATCATTGAGCATTATGCAACGACAGTAGGTGATAATTGGTCAGAATTGGCCAAGAAATGTTGTTATTGTCAGTAGTATTTGGGCCTATATAGGTTTATGATTGTTATATGTGTAGATTTTATTTTCCTTAGTATTATGATAGATTTAGCCTATATTGTATGACGAAGCCTATTTCATGTAATATGATCAATGGTGAATAAAGATTTCTGATTTCTGATATTCACGTTTTTCCTAAAGACGTTCACTAGTTGCTCTGTCTGCGGAAGATGTTCTTGATTTTGCCGTGTCTACAAAAACTTTCAAAATTTCATCGTCACTGTGGAAGAAGTTCATGATTTTACCGCAATATGGGGGCAGATCATGTAAAATATTGTATAAGCCAACTGTGGTTTAACAGTTAATATATTTTTTAGATCAATTTTCAATACTTTCCAATACAATACGATATTGGCCCAAGACCCAAGAGAAGAGCGAAAATGTTTTACCCAACCCAAAACAAAAAAAGTGTGGTTCGCAGACCCTAACAGTAGCCTACAACTCAAATGACCCTACAAACATCAGAATCGCTGACTAACCGAATCGCTTACAGTGTTTTAAAAACCTTAAACTACAAGCACTAATAAGAATCATTATCAAAGGTAGAAGCGTGATCAGTTTCTACAGTAGTGAACTGTCTACATACCTCAGTCTCCCTAGGCAGTCCAGTTTTGTCACACAGACTGCCGCCTCCATAGTAATGTGACAGCTGACGTCGCTCGGGCAGCGGCTTGGGTCGCTTGTGAGGGTTGTGTGTGAGCCACGCAATGTGTGCCTCGCGATCGAACACGCCTAGTTTCACCGTTGTGCGTGTGTTATCCTGCTCCACATGGTATTGCTCCACACTGTGGCCGTAGCAGAACTCAAATTTCCACCATCCAGAACCCTAGAGTATATCAGACCAATTTAAACACAACAGAAGTGGTAATTGGATTTTAGATCTCAAAACACTAACTTGACCTATTATAAAACAACAAAATGTTAATTTGCACACTTTAAAGAAACATATAAGCTTAGCCTGACCTGACTCCAGTACCAATTGATAGACTAGCTGCCAATATTAGTGGCTGGTAAAACAGCGTCGTCAGATCAATTATTGAGAAGGGGACACCACTTAGGTGCGTATTTGAAAACCCAAATATGAGTGAAGAATGAGTGTACAATGGTGTAAGATGATCTTTTTTAGCTTTGTTACTGACTAAGGTCAGCTGTTTCAACAACTAGGATCATTTTTTCAAAGCCCAATGATCAGGGACAGCTGAGTCCAATTTCAAACCATTAAAAAGCTTAAAAAGACATTTCTCAAGATTGAACCTGCAACCTTTTGATTACCAGGCGAGCACTACCAATATCCAGTGCTAACTAGCTAGCATATAACTATATAAGACTCACCCCATGTAGACAAGTTTTGCCAGACAGGAAGTTCTCGACAGGAGACGTGTCTGTGATGACGTCAGGTGATGGACTAGAGGGGGTGGGGGGAGGAGTTGGGGCGTCTTTGTCCTCCTCAACAGCTCTCAGTTCTAATCTTACTCGGTTCTCTCCATCCTGAGTACAAAGAAGAGTAACATTTTTCCAACGGGGTAAGTACAAGTTGTTAAATAACAGAAAAAATACAATATTGACTTTTCAGGGTGTCTACCAGTTGATCTAAATTTCAGCGACTTTTGAGGGGGGCGACTATATAACTAAAGTATAAGAAAATAATTTTCAGTGACATGAGATAGTCGGGCATTCAATATTTTGTACTATGTTGTATTTTGTTGAATGTGTAACATTTGAGCAGATTGCCATCTCCCAAAATATGTTCGCTCTCACTGATTCTCATTATAAACTTAATCACTTGCAGAAAGGTGCAAAACAAAAGACAGGCCTGAAGAACTTTATTAGGCCCAATTTTTTTCATGACCAAAAGTCATGGATCTTAAAATGAAAATCCGTTACTTTCCACTGACTTCTGTGACCCCCTAGTAAAATCAGTGACTTATCCGTGACCAGTAGTCTTTTCGCTTTTGGATACTGAGGAAGACATGTATGTGAAGTACCACCAGCTATAGCCTATTTACTATAAAAAAATAACACGGTTGAATAAGCCACTCGCAGAATGTGCTACGGTCTAAAATTTGAATCCTTCTCCTTAGCTTTTGTTATAATTAGTTGTTGTGACCTAAAAAGATGCTAACTTATTGATTATTTGTTTGTATCTCTTAATTGGTTCATGTGTTGAAATAAATAAAAAATAAAGGCACTTAATTTAGTTATTTTGTTGTGTTTAACCAACAACTAGTTTGCCACATAAAATGCTAAATTCACATAGAAAAATATTTAAGAAGAGAAATATTTTATTTAAATAAAATAACATAATAGTTTTTAGAACAGTTCTTCATGCAGGAAACGAGGAAAATATTCACTATTTCAAAAGTAACATTTTACCAAGCACATCCTGAAAAAAGATAGAAAAAATTAATGAAATGAATATAAAATGCATAAAAGTACAATTAAATGTTAACTTTCTTGAATAAACAATTCTAATAAATGATCAGCAGTTGAAAAGATTCTCTCTGGTGAACTCCGTGTGACGCTGGATAAATCCCGTATATTCACACTCGATTCATCCCTCTGCACGCACTTGGTACAACTTCGTAGTATTACGAAATTTTATTGTACTGATACTAAAAAATTGTACCAAGTGCCGATGGAAGAGTCGAGTGTGAATATACACGATTGATATGTTTTTATTTGTATGGACCATTTCTTACCTGTACGCAGGATAAACCTAGAATAAAATAGCTTATTCCCTACATGGGAAATTCGCTTAACAAAGGCAATCGGCTAAACATGGAAATTTATTTCAATATTTAATCACCCTGTTGTTTTATCAAGTAGTGTAATAAATTTGTAACAAAGTCAAATGAACACAAAACTACAAGCTGTGAAAGTCAATCTACAATAATTATCAAACATAAAGAGTTGGCACACTACCACAACTGAAACTACATAAGATATAAGGTTTCATGCTAGAAATACTATTAGAAACAAATATGCAAAAACAAACCAAAACTACTATGAACAAATGATTGAAAAAAATTATCAAATGACTTAATTAACTTGAAGTGCGATTTTTAAATTGCATAATATGGAACGGTTATTTGGAGTTGACAAAAATAAATTTAGTTACTTATAACTCAAGAGAAATACTTGGGTTTGGATTTTTTTACCCAATTTTGTTTACTAAGTTACACAGTTACTTTCGTAAGGGAAAGGTTTTAAGCAAACAAAATTATAATGACAGCATCAACAGGATTTTACGACTCATCTAGGAACAATACACGGTAACAAATTGTCAAGAAAAAAATTCAAAGCTGAAAAAAAACTTTTTAAAAGAATGCCAATTTAATGTATACTTCAACTATCAATTTCAGCTCCACTAAAAAAATTTGGTCCATGAGAAATAGATCAACGGAGTTTTCAGGTTAGGAATGAATAAACCTTCATGTTAGAGTTCATAATCCTTCATTTGTTTAAAATTTTACCCTGTCGTTACTGCAGAATATTTTTCAACCCTAGCAACTGCTTCAACCCCCTAATAGGCTACATTTGTAAACAAAATTCCCAGTGTGAGGAAACTAAATCAACCACTACACAATAAAACCGACAGGGATGTATATTTGTTTTATGTAACAAAGTAATTTAAACAATGTATTCCCCTTGCTTATAAGCTGAAAAAGAATTACGACCAGGTTTACTTATAATAGTCTTAAAATTATTAAAATTATCACAAAATGAAAACAAACCTTTTCGATTTTATCTATGCTGAAAACCGCAAACACCTTCTTGAGTCTTTCGTCTTCCTAAGAATAAACAAAACTTGCATTTCAACATGTGCAAGGTGTTAAGTTACAAAAATTAACTGCATTTTAGGAAATTGTAAACATTGGTTATTTTTAATTTTTATTATTAAATTTGGTACATTAATTTATTGAGCATGATAAATTATGGTTTTGCGTTTATATAATTTACATTTTTAACATTTCTAGTTTATATAGGTCTAGTAACACTTTTAGTAAATTACAAATTAAAATGAATATTAATAAAGCAAAACAAAAAAGGTGCAATTACAGGATGAAAGTGCATACGTACAAGGAACACATTTACTAAGTTTATTAGCAGTTGAAATGTATATCAGTAACTATAATGTATCAATGAATGGAAAAGTTAGCTATTCAAATAAAAAATATGCCTATGACCAAAAATGCAAGTTAAAAAACAAAATGAAAGATTCAGATTCAACTATAACCACTATGCATGAAAACAATAATTTCAGTAGCCTAATACAAATTTTTTAAAATTAAATGACAAGCACGCTTCTACATTGTTTCACAGAGATCAATACAACAACAAAAATTGTATTATCCAAAATTTTTATACATTGACTATAAATAACCAAGAACTATAAATTTTGTTGCATGTTTGATATACGGTAAACATTGAGAGCAGCTGACGCCTTCAGAGTGTCCTATTTTTTTGATATTTTATTTATTTTATAGAACAGCAACAGATTAGAATTTTTTCTCTAGCTCTAAATCCTAATAGATAGTTTAAAACTTACCAACAAGACACCAGAATTCCCAACATTAACTGTTCATCAAACATGATAGTAAAAATATTGAAAAGGCTGGAGTATAAGTTTAATTTTTGGAATTCTTCCAAAAATGCCAGTGCCCAGAAAGTAGTCCAACTGCTCTTTTAACCAAATTAATCAAACTAGGGTAAAAGGGTAATAAGAATAGAGAGACAAAAAAGTTAATGCTTTAACATTTTAGGTTACAAAAGATAAATTAAATTTAAAAATTTGAAACTAACGTAATAATTGACCACACAATAGTTGACCATTTTAAATTAATTTGGGTTTAACGCTCTTAACGCTCATTTCTCTAGGTATATTTTTGATTATGTCCAAAACACATGATTCCAGATTTTAGAGCAAGAAAAGGGAGAGGAGGCAAAATTTTCTATCGGGCCAATAGTGTGTCTCATGCAAACCACGGGGCTGGGAAAAACATTAGAGACTCACCAAAAGTCTCTGGCGACGCAATTTTAAGCTCTCAGCCTCAAATTTCCTCAAGTTCCTTGGTTTCCTTGGAGCTTCATCAACTGGCAAACAGTTAATAGGATGTTCTCCAGTGTCTTGAGGTCTGAAACCAAAATAGGTTTGTCTAATGGTCTAGTCTAATATAATTTTACAGCAATCATCTCGTCGAGACATGAAAGTCCAACTTCCTTTGTTTGTTTGGCAATGGCTAGTACTGTTATGTCTGCTACTTATCGAGATTATTTTGTGCGAGTCAGACTTCATGTTGTCAGGTAAGCGTGGACTTAAAACGTTTACAAAGGATGGAAAAAGACGACTGATTAAAGCAGTTGATGATGGGTTAAAGCAAAAAAGGCGAAAGAAATAGCTAGGGAATTTGGAATTCCATTTAACACTACGTCGAAGATTTTGAATCACCGGGAAAGTATGACGATGAAGGTGGGTTTACCAATAAGAAAAGACTTTAGAACGGTGAGTTTAAAGACGAGGATGAATGGATTAAACAGTGTCGAGATTAAAACATTCCTATATCAGGACCGATTTTACAAGAATAAGAATAAGAATAAGAAATATTTATTTCCATTGATCTTTATAAAAGAAATAGGACACGTCATTGTTATACATAGTTACAAGGTGATTCAGTGTTTACAGTACAAAATATCTAAATTTAAATAGCCACTTACATGAAAATAAAAGCTTTATTTCAACTTACTCTTCAAAATCTAATATTTATTTCACAACTTAAAAAATCATCAATTTTGTAAAAGGGATTTTTAACAATCCAGTCATACAGTTTATTTTTAAAAATACTGTAAGAAACTAATTTTGCTTCTTCAGGCAGCTTATTAAAAAACATTATACAGTTTAATTTATGTGAATGTTTGGTTTTTGCCAATCTGTGCTGCAATATATCTATTTTATCCCTACCTCTTGTATAGTGATTGTGTACGTCTTTTCGGAAAGAGAATTGATCTAAGTTTGACTTTGTATACATTAGAATTTGGAATATATAAAGATTTACTATGGTTGGTATCCTGAAATTAATGAAAAGAGGTTTACAATGTGTATCTGAGCATTCTCCAGCAATGCTTCGAACCGCCTTTTTCTGGAGTAAAAGGATGTCATTAATATGTGGAGAGTGGCCCCACAAAATAAGACCATATAGTATGTGCGATTGAAAGAGCCCAAAATACGCCAATCTTAAATATTCTTGACTAACAAAATCCTTAAGTTTCCACAGCAAGCACCTCACTCTTGAAATTTTGTTACAAACAGATTTTATGTGTGATGACCAATTTAATTTTGAATCCAAATTAAATCCTAAAAGTTTAACTGATTCAAATTTTACCTCTGTTTTAAGACTGATTGTTATATATTGTGATTTGTCAGAATTACAAGATAGTCTGTTTGCAGAAAACCAATCATATGCTCTATGTTCAGCCTCTTGACTAATTAAGCGCAGGGTTGTTAAATTAGAATGGTTAGCGAGTAAAGTTGTATCATCCGCATATATAACAGATTGTGTATTTATATTTATAGGAAGATCATTAATGTAGACGTTAAAGAAAAATGGCCCTAGTACAGAGCCCTGAGGAACACCGGTTTCAACTTTTTCAGTTTTAGAACATTTATTTTTAATTGATACCAATTGAAGTCTATTACATAAATACGAAGAAATTAGAAGCATGGCATCATTAGTGATGCCATAAAAACGTAGTTTGTTAGTTAGGATATCAAAAGGAACCGTGTCAAAAGCTTTACTTAAATCACATAAAACTAATGACACAGATTCCTTCTTTTCTAAAGTTTCGAGAGAATGGTCAACTAAAGTGAGAATTGCTGAGGTTGTGGATTTACCTCGACGAAAGCCGAATTGGGAGTTTGACAATAGGTTATTTGTTTCAAAGTAATTATTTAATTGATTATACATTACTGCTTCAAATATGTTGAAAAAAATAGGAACTGCTACAACTGCATACAAGAAAAGACCATTAAGTATGCCATTTGTATGCATAATCAATGGTTTTGTTTTGCTTCCACAGTTACCCTTTAGTATGTGTAAATAGCTTTAGCTCATTTGTTTTGCATGTAAAAGTCAAGTTATAAATGTCATGACATAAAATCACTTTCAGAATCCAACACATCTCAAATCTTTGGTATAGCACTTTCATAACTCAGATAGAAGTTGGAAAGATGGATTTGAATTCTTCATGAGATGTGACTCAAATCAGCCATTTGCCTGATTGCCAACCCTTACTGTGTGTATGGCCACACCAAAAATTGTTTTAAAATAATTTGGATTTTTATGCTCACAAGGTGAAAAGCTAATACAAATAGGCTTCATTAAATCGCTGAATCAAAAAGTTTGAAGGGTAATGCCACGGTGCCTGTACACGAAACAATTCAAACCTGGGACTAGGAGAAACAAACAACAATCTCATTAGGAGGGTTGAACTGTTAACATTTTTTATCAAGGTTTTAGGTAAAAAATACTCTAAGTTAGTTTTAGGAGTACCAACCTTAAATAGAGAACTAAGAACAATTCATACACTTACTTGTACTTGGGGTGTTGGCAGAGCAATGAAGACAACACTATCATCTCGTACTGACATGTCGACGTCTCTTTGAACGAGTAGATCTCGTGTTTGCCCATAGTGTAGCAGACGTAGAGAACGTTTGTGCGACGAGGCTGACCGTTGAGGTCACATATCGTGCCGTCAGTCAGGTTCAGCTGGATGTACGGCAAACTGAGACCATCAAGCTTCTTGACTGGAGGCGGATAGTGTAGTCCTGCGTCCAATTCTTGACCTGGACACAATAAAAACTATTTAAGTCTTTGTTTGAAGTTGGAGGTTAGGGTCCTTGTTAGAGTGTAGAATGACGCAGGAACACTGGGGTGTCTGATAGTAGCAGTAGGTATTACCACACGAGGCCTATAAACATCTTCTTACGAGCAATTATCAGGATTAGTCATCACTTTTCTTACCAAGTTATTAATCACATTGGATTTTCACTGATCAGATTGTTTACAACGGCAGTAGGAAGACAGTGGGTGTTGCTAGCCTAGTGGTTAGCGACTTTGCGTCTCGGAACTTTGGGTTTGTAGCGCTTTTCCTTAAAATCGTTTAATCTCACTTTGACTTAAATAAAAAATGCCACTGGCATAGAAAAAATACAAAAAATTAAAATAGTGCTATTTACACTTGATAACATGTCATCCACCACCATAACAAGTCTGTGGCGGTTGTAAAAATTCCATAAGATAATAATTGTGTATAAAGTAGTGGTGTGTTGGTACTGTACTACCGGTTCACGACAAAAAACATTTAAACGTCGGTTCTCAGTAGCTTGGTACTAAAAGAAAACAAGCCTATTGGTGTGATGATGACTTTTTAGTGAAAAAATCAATCAGTTTCAACATCTTTAACTTAATTTATTAGGTTTTTGAGTCTTTTTACTATTTCTGTAATTGTAAACTAAGTACGTTTTACAGTATTTATAAATCATTAATGGTCAAGGCCTACGACTTGAATCTAAAATTTAAACCTTCTAGAGACGTGGTAAGAATGCTCTAACTAGTTTATGAACTCGTCTACCACTTGTAACCTAACCCTTAATGCGTTCAAAGATAAATATCACGAAGTTTACAATATTCTTTTGCAACTTACTCAGCTTTTGGTGAGCCGCCTTGTCCCATCGGCCGAGGTAGTACTCCTGCGTCTTGGAGCGAGTCGCTTCTCTGTCCTCGTGATACTGACGCACGTATCTCCCGTGGCACACCTCGTAAGTCCAGTACGACTCCAGCTACAAACAGGTTCAGCCATTAGCAATGTAATGAGTCTAATATATTCACAAAAAATAATTCAACAAGTTTGTTCCAATACTAAATTTTTATAGCCATAAGCATTAAAAATATTTCTCCCAACTTACGCAATTCAGTAGAGGTTCTTAAGTTATTTACATATTTGTGTAAGAGTAATACACATGCCTAACTAATAATAAGGCATGAAGATTTTTCCAATGAATATATCTTGCAGGCTACGGTAAGACTTATTTTTGTTGGTGGGTCCAAAGGTAGTTTTCTTCTTGGTCTCCAAAGTTCTTAGTCACAAAGGATTAGCAAGAGTAAACTTTGATTACCAATAACAATAATCAAAGGTATATTATTTGATTTATTCATTCATTTTCATTGTCAGTACATAAAATAAATGACAGGACAAATTGTCAAATGAAATTAAATCCATGGCTTAAAACTAACAGGTAAAACTTACATCATTAGGTTTATTCATACCTAATTCCAGCAACCCTAATTTAGTTTTGAGCCATGTTTTTATGGTAGCCTACAGTAAGTCTAAACTTGGAATGATTTTCTAGGATAGTAAAACTTCTATAAGTTATTTAAGGTTTTTGGACCAATGTATTGTATGTATGTATGTAATGTATTGTTTGGATAACTTAACTGGAATATGAGTAATTTGTGAACTACAGGTTTAATAATATTATTTCTGTTGTTGTAATTATGTTTAGTTTGGGTACGACAAAAATATAATAGTAATAAGGGCCAAAAGTATCTTTTCAACCTTCACTCACTTTAGACACTATAGATGACTAAGGTATTTTTAAGCTATTCAATTAACTGGAAAATGTTAGACGAACATCCAAAGTGTATAGACATTAAAAGACATACACTAAAATAGTAATTAAGTTTCATATTTTTTTCGCTTTGAAGTTTACTCACTCGATAAGTACATGAAGATTGTTGAAAAAGAGGCTGTAGAATTTCTAAGGCATTGGGTCCTTCATATGTTTCTTCAGATTCCTAAAAATATAAATATTATTAATAAAAACCATGGGTGACAGTTAACTGTAATTGGTAAATCGAATATTATAGGCTCGAACTAGCAGCACTTGTGTGTCCGTGAACGCGATAACTTGAGTAATTTTTGTCAGATTTTAATGACATTTGGTTTATAGGTGTAAGGCGGAATAAACTTGAATGAGTTCGCTTGTTTTTTAAGCTCTTTAAAAAGGTCTAAATAGAAATTTTGTGTTTTAAGGGTCAAAAATTAGAAAAACCAATTTTTACCCCATAACTTCCCGTAAAACCCTGTTCCCATTGTCTGGTCATGCTGGTTCGCGAACTCATTGAAGTTTATCCCGCCTTACACTTTTTAACAAAATTTCATCAAAATTGAACGTAAATTACTCAAGTTATTGCGTTCACGGACGTCTGACTGTAAGTTACATATAAACATTTGAACGAATGTTGTTTTTGGCCTTTGGGGACATCAAAATTAAAAGTAAATCTGTCCAAGGCCCAGGTCTTTCCTTGCCACCTATGGTAATAACTTGAATACTACCCTATAGGGAAATTTTCTAAAATATCACAAAAAACCTAGGCCTACAACATAACAGTTGAAAGTAAGTTAGGCTTCTACAGGAAAAGACTGTAACATTATTAGTGCGGTCGACATGTTTAAACATAAAAGTTATTTATTTCAATGTAAAAGCAATAGCGGCGATTCCCGTCATCAGCTCTCAAAGTGTTAAATCTTGGCACTATATCTTTGAGAGACTCAAGTTTACTTGTCACTTACCCAAAATACCTACCTACTTGCAAAACGTTGGTGAGTTCAACCGAGACAAAGATTTGACAAAAACTACTATTTATATTTACAGTATAACCAACTATCAGATTTTTTTAGGCTATGTTGCAACATTAATAATAACCAAACCTAATGTATACCGTATAATTTTACTATAATAATATATAGTATATAGTATACTGGTAACGTCTTACTCATAAATGGGAAAACTATTTTATGTTCAGCTTTAGGCTACTTAAGATGGAGGAAGTAGGTGTCAGTTTTTAATTAACACTTTCTTTGTTAGCCAAAGCTATAAATTGATCGGTTGTCAAAATACACAGTGTTATTAAAAGGATAACCTAAAAAACAAGTTATTAAAATTGATAAACCTTAGTTAGTCTCCAGTACTAATAGACAATTTATTGAAAAATGCCAGTTTTGACTACCTATAATAAACTAGGGTGTTAAGATTATATAGGCCTACCGTACTTACTTTTGACTTATCTCGAGTGGTTGGTATTGTGCACTTATATTTCTCTTTACTACTTGTAACGATTGTCATAGATTCACTATCAGGAACCTCCTAAAACAGTCGGATGATCATAAAGTTGGTTAGTATAATGAGTAGCCTAATTTGATAACCTTTTATAAAAAATCCTGATGTTAATTTTTTAAAGTGGTTGTTCTCTCTTGCAGTCTGCCTTTTGTACCGGTCAGCTATGAAGACATTCATAGTATCTCATGATTTTAATCACATAAACATCTAGGCTAGGCCTAAATGTACCTAAAATTTTGCAATAAACGGTTATAAAAGCTTCGCCCAATCCACCACAATTCAGGCATGACTTTGCTTGGCCAATTTCTTACTTCTAAGAATTATCATCAAAACACTAATCCCTTGGATTTTTTAACAATCTCGAGCCCTAAAAATAAATTGTGACTTCAGAATCAAAGTAAAAATTCCCTTAAGACGTTGGTTCAAACCTAATAAGGAAGTAAAACAAACCAAATAGCCTACTACCAAACACAGAGGACACGTCGGGTAAGGCCATTACCACAACGATAAGATGTAAATCCATCGGTGTTCGTGGTGTAGTGGATAGAGTGCTCTGCTGATATGCAAGAGGTCCCTGGTTCAAATCCCATCTATAGGTAACTTCAACTTTATGTCAAAGATTTTCCTTTGAATGCCATTCCTTCTCAACTGTAACTTACATCTTGTTAGAATTTTTGGCATTTATAATTTTATTTTATGAACACAATTTAACCTTCATTCGATTTTTTCATTATCAGCAAGTTTGGTTGGTTAGGTTAAGTTATGACAGTAACAGCCGGACGTCTAATCTACTACCGGACCATACCGGTATAATGTAGTCCGGTTACCAGACATGTATCCTCTGTGTATCTCAAAACCTATTCATGCCTAGATCATTTAAATTAGCATAGGCTACTATATCCAATAAATTTAAGTTAATTTTGAATTTTTTTATATTTTAAAATCTAGTTTAGGAATAAACTTAGTTGGTCTTCATCAGATAGCCAAAATAATGGATGGGTAGCCTAGGGACTTTGGCAGCCTAGCCTATCTTTTATGGTTGCAAGAACTTAAACTTACTAGGCCTACTATACCATTTATAGGTTAGGTATAATCCAAAAAAGGTTGCATCTTACCAAAAGGTCAGCACTGTCTTTTCCTGGCCAGTTAATTTTAAACAACACGGTATCATAAAATCCCTGGATATCAGAACACAACACTCCTGACAATAATGATATTCCTAAGTAAAAAATCAACAAAATGTTGCAGGAAATGATACTCATTTTTACTCCCTGATACTTTGTAGTAATAAATTAACCTATGGTAAGTATAATTACATAGAACGAAATAGATACTGAATAATTAAATAGATAAAATTATAAACATGTAAACAAACTTAACGTAGCCAAATTTGATTCGTGGTCCGACTTAGTAACATTTTTGCAATTAGGCCTATGACAACGACAACAAGAACAAACTTATTCACTGATCAGCCGATCAGCGGTTGGTTAAATTGACGTTTGTTGGCTTGGTGTGTGCCACAAAACAGCTGATCAAAACATCTGGTTGTGGTATAGAAAAGCAGAATCACCAACAAAAGCCATCACTAGGTGTGCAATGCAGTTGTATGCTTGCAATATTGAGCGGAGCAAGTATATTAATCATTTTTTTTAAGTCAATGCTATGCTACGTCTGTTTTATGTAAATGGAATGTCTACTTACTGTTTCCAAAGTCAATGCTAAATTTAGTTTACGTAAATGAGACGTCTCCTGGGGCCCATTTCATAATAAAGTACAAACTAATATTATTAGTAAATCAGCTGATCGGCCAATGCAAATCTAATGGAAATTACAAGCTACAAGTTGTAACTTGTAACTTGTAGTTTATTATGAAATGGGCCCCTGGTCGAATCCTTATTCAATGGTACGTTTGGTTCATATAATTAATGGAATGTCTACTTGCAGAACCCAAAGGTACATTTGTTATACGAAAAGGGGAAGTATACTTACAGTATCCAAAGACAATGCTCCTTTTGGTTAACGTAAATGAGATGTCTCTTTGCAGTATCCAATGTCAATGGTGCATTTATATCACGTAAACGGGATGTCTAGTCGACTTGCAGTATCCAAAGTCAATGGTACAATTGGTTCACGTAATGAGATGTCTACTTGCAGTATCTAAAGTCAATGGTCTTTCTGTTCTTATAAATTAAATGTCTATTGATGTATCCAACGCAAATGACACATTTGGTTCAATAAGTAAATGGAATGTTTACTTGCAGAACCCAAATGTGTTATATGTAAAGGGGATGTCTTCTTACAGTATCCGAAGTCAATGGTTGTTTATGGGTCATTTAAAACAAGTGTGTAATTAGTAACACAAGTTTATTAATAAAACCACATTGTAGTCACAACAGATACACAGGGTCACATGTTGAGGAGTTGACGGAAGAGTGTGTGAAGTTGGAATGAAACTGGAGGGTGGAACGGAAGGGGAATGGAGATACATAGAGGAATGGAAACATAGAATATATAATTATACAATACTGTATCAACATCTCCCTTATCAACAAATAACAAATTTTTTACTTTTACTGTTAAGAATATGTGAAAGAACTAAACAAACATTTTCAGCCTACTCATATCTAGTTAGGTTACAATGAAGTACTAGTTAGCATCAAATGTAAGTCTCCTAGGATTTCTGATTGTTCTACCTCTTTTAGTCACATAACCCTCCATGTTTTGGATAACATTATTTTCGTCATGACCACTGGGAGTGGGAGGAATCAAAGGACTGGGCTGAATTAGACATTTTTGTTGGTTGGGAGTGGGACTCTGGTTTTTATGATTAGGATCCTTAGAATTGGTGCTAGGAAGAGATGGATTTACATTTTCATCGGGATTGTCAGTTGGAGATAAAATAAAAAACTTTCTGTTGCGATTATACAATCTACCATTATCATCCTTTACCACATAAGAACGGGGTGCATTTCCTAAAGCTGTTATCTTACCAGGGGACCAAGGACCATCTAGGTTCTTTTTAAAAAGAACTTTGTCATTTACATTCAACTCTGATAAAGGTTTAACATGTTTGTCATAATATTTTTGTACAGACTGTTTTCTTTTATTTACAAGATTGGGGTTTGGTTTTGTGACCTTTGGCTCCAGGAACTTTGCTGAACATGGTAATAATGAATTTAAATTTCTCGAAAACAATAATTGTGCGGGTGAAGGTAAATTACCTTTAGGAGTGTTCCTGTAATTGAGTAAACCGATGTAGGGGTCTGTGTTTGAATGTTCACATTTTTTCAGTATACCTTTGGCTATTTTTACTCCTGACTCAATCTGTCCGTTGGACTGGGAGTGCTTTGGTGACGATAAGACATGACTAAATTCATAGCTATTTACAAATATTTGAAACTCATGACTAGTGAACTGAGTACCTGGATCAGTTACTAGTATTTGGGGAATTCCATGTCTTGCAAACATTGACTTTAATTTGTTAATAACACCTTTTGAGCTAATATCATTTAGAGACACTAATTCAATGTATTTAGAGTAATAATCCATTACAACTAAGTAGTGCACAGATTTTAATTCAAAGAGGTCTGCTGAAACTTTAGACCATGGCAGGGATGGTATTTCATGAAATAGGATTGGTTCTTTACAGTTATTGGGGGAATGTAAAGCACATGTCATACAATTATTTACAAACTCCTGTATGTCTGACTTTATACTAGGCCAATACAATAGTATATTTCGTACCTAGGGCCGAAAATGAGGTTTTGCCGGCTCGAGATAGTTTTTAAGTTCGAGACGAAGTCGAGAACTTAAATCGATCGAGAGCCGCAAAACCATTTCGGTCCGTGGTACGAACGCTATTTTTCACCACACTATACCCTATTACCACTATTCACCACAATAATAATGCACACTGATAGTCAACACAACTACAACTTTAAGGTTATGTGAAGAAATAATTTGAGGAATCAGCAAAAATAAAAATATATAGTTGCTAGGCAACGGTGACAATAACACAATTAAGTAAGTAAGCGGACAGCTGATTTTGCGGCCCCGGCCTGTAAAAACCTGCTCGGTCCCCAAATTATGGACAGCTGGCATCGCCAGCAAAACCTAACTTTCGGCCACCAATTAACGTATGTAATACAGCCAAAAACATGATAGTGTGGTGAAAAATATTTTTTTCACCACACTATGATGTTTTTGGCTGTATTACATACGTTAATTGGTGGCTGAAAGTTACGTTTTGCTGGCCATGCCAGCTGTCATCGTAATTTGGGGACCGAGCAGGTTTTTACAGGCCGGGGCCGCAAAGTCAGCTGTCCGCTTACTTACTTAATGAATGCATTTTAAATACACAATCAAAATCCATCACCGTTGCCTAGCAACTATTTATTTTTATTTTTGCTGATTCCTCAAATTATTTCTTCACATAACCTTAAAGTTGTAGTTGTGTTGACTATCAGTGTGCATTATTATAGTGGTGAATAGTGGTAATAGTGTATAGTGTGGTGAAAAATAGTGTTCGTACCACGGACCGAAATGGTTTTGCAGCTCTCGATCGATTTAAGTTCTCGACTTCGTCTCGAACTTAAAAACTATCTCGAGCCGGCAAAACCTCATTTTCGGCCCTTGGTACGAAATATACTATTGCTCTCTTTTCACATGTACTTACACCAACATGACCTTCGTGCAGTTTTGTTAACATATCTTTTTGCAAACTGTGAGGAACTATTAATCTATCATTTTTAAACACAAGTTTGTCAATTACATGGAGACTATCCCTCAAGTTCCAAAACGGTTTTACAGAATTGTCAAGATTATTTTTGTTTTCAGGCCACCCAGATTTAACAAATTCTCTTACTTGAACTAAAGTACTGTCCTCATCTGTCTTAGAAATAAACAAGCTAAATTTTTCTTGAGAAATAGGTAAACTATTTTTGAACAAATTAACTTGGCATATTATATCATCATCTGTATGATCAATTTCCTCTTTAGTTTGAAAGGGTAAGGATGACCTTGATAAGGTGTCTGCAATATACAGAAGTTTACCAGGCTTATAGATCACGTCAAGATCATATCTTTGCACTTTTAGCAACATAGTTTGCAGTCTCAAAGGGGCTTGTGACAAAGGCTTTTTGAATAAGCTAACTAGGGGCTTATGGTCTGTCTCTACAGTTATTTTCTTAGAAAATATGTACTGATGAAATCTGGTACAACCAAATGCTATGGCTAGCATTTCTTTCTCAATTTGACTATAATTTACCTGGCTCGGAGTCAATGACCTTGATGCATAGGCCACTGGGTTACTATCACACAATAACACCGCTCCTAGACCTGTTGAGCTACTATCAACAGACAATGTCACCGCTTTTTTTGGATCAAAATAACACAAGACTGGGGGGCTGACCAAAATCTCTTTTAATTTCCGGAACGCGATATCTTGTGGCTGATCCCAACGAAAAACAACATCCTTTCGTAACAACTCTCTTAAAGGTGTTGTTATTGTTGAATAGTTAGGGATGAATTTAGATAGATAATTAGTCACGCCAAGAAACCTTTCCAGCTCTTTGCGATCAGCTGGGACCTGCATATGCTGTATCGCAAGAACCTTCGAGGAGTCTAGAGAAACGTCACACTCTGAGTACTCAAACCCGACAAATTTAACTTTAGGCACACGGAACTTGCATTTGGACATGTTAAACTTGATGCCGTTAGCCTTTGCGATTTCTAAGACTTTACGAAGTCGCTCGTCGTGAGATTTTTGATCAGCCGCACTAATACAAATATCATCAAAATAGCACACTACGCCCTCAATATTACCAAATAACTCTGTCATTTTAGATTGAAAATAGTCAGGGGCACAACTGATTCCATAGGGCATACGTAGAAATCTGTATCTTGCAAATGGTGTATTGAAGGTACATAACCTACTTGAATTTTCATCAAGCTTAAACATCCAAAAGGCAGAACTAGCGTCAAGAACAGAATATATTTTAGAATTTGTTAGCTTACTACTAATCTCTTCTGCATTGGGAATTTGACAATGGGGACGCTTTAAATACTTATTTAGATTTCTGGAGTCTAGTACAACTCTAAGACCAGAGCCTTTTTTATTAATTAAAACCATACCATGTACCCATTCAGTAGGTTCGTCTATTTTAACTATTATGCCCAATTTCTCCATTCCCATGTAGCACAGATGGTTGGGCCAACGTTGGTAAATTGTGGAGCCACACAGTTGGCCAACGGTAGAAATGTCACCTCTTTAAACTGTTTTCCAGCCAACCATTGTCCAACAATGGCCCAACCGTTTTATTTCACACAAAATAATAAAGATTTAGTACGTAAAGCATAATTATTAGTTGAGTAAATTGATTAAATAGTTCATAAAAACAAATTTTGAAAAAAAGCTAGAACAAAATTTTTTGGCCCAGACGGGTCTC